CAAATTTGGGGGCGGCTGTGACGAAGAATGACTTCTTCAGGCAGATAAAACTGGCTGCTTGGGAATCAGCCAATCAGGAGCGGTACTGCGCTCTGCGGTCCGCGGAAGAAGACAGCTTTCATTCAGTTTCGGGAAAGTTTGAAAGAGCGCTGTTGTTGAAAGACTGTAGTCTATATTGATTGATATAGAGAGTATAATATAGTGTTGCTGTACTTATTATAAGTTCCTAGAATTGTGTGCGTGCAACTACCAGTAAGTATACTGATGTTTGTTGTTAGTTTTACCTCACAATAATGTCGTGGTACGTTAGTGCTTGTTTTTGTATAATGGCGGGGCTTCTCCGTCTGTGTGTTTAATTGTTGAGAACGCTGTTGCTCTACAAGCCTTACGTGTCTCTATTGAAAATAACGTCTGTTGTTCTTGCACAATGTGTAACATTGTTTATTTGAAGGAATAACTCTGCAGTTCATAATTATTATATTCAGCTGAATTTAGCCTGTTGTATATTGTTGCAGTTACTGTGCAGCAAATTAATCTTTGACCAGGGATATAGTGTATTATTGCATTTCTAAGTTTGTATTTGCTTAGTGATAAGCATTTATTATAACACTGCATTTAAGTCTTACATAACAAAACTATAATTTAATATCTTGATCGTTTTTTGTTTATTATATACCTGCTATGCATGTAATAACTTTTTGACATTTATATAGAGAGTCTACATTTACTGATTTATGCCTGTATCTCTGTTTTTCAGAACCACACACATTAAACTTTTATTTTAATAAAACACCTAAACGGAACATCTTGTCTGCATTCTAATCGATGCCCCCTGGTGGCCACAACCCTTTAAAGACCAGTCAAATTATAAATTCCTTTCCAATCATCAAAACACTATCTATGAAAAATTTCAGTCAGGATTCAGACCGCATCATAGCACAGAAACTGCGCTAGTTAAAATTACAAATGCTTCTGACCAATAGCTTCTGACCAAGGCTGTATACTAGTTCTCTACTCGATCTTAGCGCTGCGTTCAACACTATAGAATAGATCATAAAATACTCTTGGATCGACTACGAAACTACACTGGTGTTCAGGGACAGGCAAGCTGGTTTAGATCGTAGCCAGGCCTACTTATCAGACCGTTATCATTTTGTCAAAATTCGAAGATAACGTATAGACTATGGAGTGCCGCAAGGATCGGTGTTAGGCCCTCTGCTATTCTCAATATATATGCTGCCACTTGGTAATATTATAAGAAAACAGGGAATTAATTTCCACTGTTATGCTGATGACACTCAATTATATATTTCATCACGAGTCACGATCAGATGAAAACACTAATGGTCTGTTCACACCGAACGCGAATTTAATTATTTGCGCGAGTAGATTACATACAAAGTCAATGCAAAGACGCGAATAGGCATCATTCGCGCCGGGCGTTGCGAATGACACGAATTGGGCGACGCGTTTGCCGCGATCGTCTTCCGCGCAAGTTGAAAAATTTGAACTGAGCGAATGTTCAAGCGTCTAACTAGACACGATAGACGCGTATTTGACGCTCTATTCGTGTTCGGTGTGAACACACCATAACTCATCTAAATTGACAGAGTGTCTCAAAGATATAAAATGCTGGATGACGTGTAATTTCCTGCTATTAAATTCAGATAAAACGGAGGTAGGCCTATTACTTATTGGTCCAAAAAACTACCCACAAAACCTCTTACAATACAACTTTAATTTAGAAGGATTTCCTGGTTCTTTATCCACTACAGTAAACGACCTGGGTGTTATACTAGACCGCAACTTGTCTTTTGAAAATCATATTTCATGTTACAAGAACAGCCCTTTTCCACCTTAGAAACATTGCTAAGCTACGTAAGATGCTATCTGTTTCTGATGCAGAAAAGTTAGTTCATGCATTCATGACCTCGAGACTAGATTACTGTAATGCTTTATTAGCTGGTTGTCCTGCATCCTCAATAAACAAGCTACAGTTAGTGGAAAATGCAGCAGCTATAGTTCTTACTAGGTCAAGAAAATATGATCATATAACACCAATTTTATCATCTCTACACTGGTTACCTATTAATTTCCGTATCAATTACAAAGTATTACTACTGCTAATAAAGCCCTAAATGGTCTAGCACCTGTGTATTTAATGGACCTTCTATCGCCCTACAATCCATCGCGTTCTTTAAGATCACTAAATTCGAGGCTTCTGGTCATTCCAAGGATATCTAAGTCCACTAAAGGAGGGAGGGCGTTCTCACATTTAGCTCCTAAACTCTGGAATAGCCTTCCTGATATTGTTCGAGGCTCAGACTCGCTGTCCCAGTTTAAAACTAGATTAAAGACGCATCTCTTTAGCCAAGTATTCACATAATGCTTACCTTTTATACCACTGTTGAATAGATCGAATGCATTAATATTATGAACAGCAGCTATGCTAATTATTTCCCATCTGCTTTTCTGCTGTTCTACCTATGCTGTTATATAGGTAAATAGCGTTCGTCAGCTCCAGTTTGTATCCAGTCTCTCACAGAGACTTCAGATGCCCCAACACCTGCGATGAGATGACTCGACCGGCGTTATGTTATGCCCTAAATTAATACATGAATTACTAACTGTATTTTTCTATGTACATTTCTGAAATGCACTTTCTGTAAAGCTGCTTTGAAACAATGTGTATTGTGAAAAGCGCTATACAAATAAATTTGAATTGAATTGAATTGACTATTATGATTATGGATTACACTCAATAAAGCTGCATTTGGATCTTCAACCCAAGTAGGAGCAATATACAGTACATAACAATTCTCATGAGACAAACTACTCAAGCTTTAAACAAATACATACTACTTCCAATTACTTTGTGTTGTATCTACTTATGAACACTACCCTCTTAAAAATAAAGATTTTAAAAGGGAGTTTTTGCAGCAATGCCATAGAAGAACCAATATGGGTTCCATTAAGAACCATTTTGTGAACAGTTCTTAATAGAAGCATTTTTTTTTTCTCAGTGTGAAGAACATTTTATTAAACTAAGTATCCCTTTTCCAATATTTCTCTATACCTTTTGTCAAATGGAAAGGTCCCACGGATGTTAAAGGTTCTTCATGGAACCATCAATATTTATCTGTCATATAATCAAAATGTCGCCATATTGAAAGCAAGGTGGTATAAATTCTGGTATGGTTAAAATTCCCTTTCGGTCACATAATACCAGAACTTGTTTAATTGTAATCATTACAAATGACTGAAATGTGGGCTTATATAGTTTATGATCTTAATCTACACAGAGCATAGATGCAAAAGACATATTTCTTTATGGCTATGGCACACATACAATGCATGCTACCCTTGACTTGTCACTTTAATGTTAAAGTCAATATAAAACAATGATTATTTCATCTTATCCTAATTAATAATATCCACGGGTTTCCTCTAAATGGTTTAAGAAATAACCGCTGTGGTTTTCCAACGTAGTACAGGTTTACTAGCAAGATAAATCTCTATGCTAATCACTCTCTTCTCTAACAGCTTTCCTTTTGTACACAGGATTTTCTTTTATTCTTTTATATGCAACCAGCTTGTTATTATAATAAACCAGTCTGTCAACTAGTTCGGTGCAGTACATACTTTGCATTTTTCATTAAATCTTTCACACACTGTTATGACTGAGAAAAATGACTTTGACTTAATATCAGATCTCAAAGAAAGATTGATTATAAAGAGCTGCTGCTAAATTTATCAGCAGATTTGGGGCAAGTCCTTTCAGCAACAGCTGCTATTTTTCTCTGCCCATGTGTTCCACTTTTGATACAAAGCAGGTTACACTGAAGAACAAGACCATAATGCAGCTCTTGTGTTAATTGCTGTTAGATTTAAATGAGTTCATTATGAACACTATAAAAGATTATCATAATTGTAATGGTAAAAGACTGTAAAATGCTATGGTAAAAAACAAACAAAAAAACTGCTAATTGGTTAACACTCAGTAAGTTTCCTTACCATATAAGGTGGAAACTGTAATAGATCGAACAGGAATTTTTTACAGTAACATATTTTAAAAATATTAGTTTTTGGAAGTGAAAAACAACAAGCCATCTTATAATTTACAGTGACGGAAAAAACTAAAAAAAAAAAAAACTAAACTGACATTCCTAGAGTTCCCTTTTCAAATTTGATGGTTTTTCCACCAGTTATGTACATTAGGGTTTAATATTACACCCTATATTTGAAATGAATGTGCATTGCATTATTGTACACTTGACTTGAAATGTTGCTACCATATTTTTTTTTACAGTGAAGTTCTGGCAACCACAGCTGCCGGGTTTTAACTGTAAATCACATTTATATATATATTTTTTAGATTTACAATTATTTTAATTGAAACAAAAATCCTTACTATCCTTTAGGATAGATTCCAAATGATGATTTTATAATAGCATGTTTTTCTGCCCTCTTAAATGGCTCATGCCAGGCTGCTGTATATGAGTGATACTTAAGTTGCAGATCAGTGCTTTCCTGCAAACCATCACACTTTACTTCCAACAAAAACACCACAATTATTTCAGTTTAGCAAGACTTTCAACATTGTCGCCTGGTAACATCACATCGCTCAGCCAATCCTAATCATGGTTTAGCACTGACCAAAACTGTTGCTATGAAACTTGTGTTGGGATTTTGACTTGTTCACAAAAACATTTTTAATCTGCAGGAGAACCTTCAATTACCTCTAAGCAAAATGTAACAGAAAGAAAATCTTGAATTAAGAAAAACAATGCATCATACCCTTATATAGACTATACGTAATTCTCATATTAAAGCCCAATATGTCAAAAAACAAAACAAAGCCGATCCAACACTGATTTCAAAGTTCAGGGTGTGATTGTTCCATGTAATTAAATCATACACAAATAATATCTTAGTGTGCAATAATTTTGTATTGTTTAATTGTAATTTTATCAGCACAATGGTCCATTCATCAACAGTTGTTTTATGGTTCATTTTATTCGCAGATATTTCTCAAGCAACGTGATGGGAATGTTCATATCAAATATCAGAAACCTTTTAGTGACATCCCTGGAATCAAGATCTCAAAGATAATCATCACAGATGTCCTTCGAATAATCTAGCAGTATTTTAGAGTCAAAAACTGAAAAGCCACACACAAAACAATTATACATATCTGCAAGCCTGATAAGAAATATATTTACATTTGTCAAACACATTACAATATGTGTGCAAACAGAAACAATGTAGATTTTGGTTTATGGATCAGAAGATGACATTCAGAAACAGATATAAACTCATACAGACAAAGTTTTGTGTTGTTTGTTAGGTATGGTCCCTTTCTTTGATGGGTAAAATGATACAGTATCAGGCAGAATAGTGTTGGTCCCACAGTTGAATTGAGATCAGATCGGCTTGTACAGCAGTGTGGTCACATACTTCTTTTTGTAGCGATGTGTCGCACTAAGTACCATTACACCATCCTGTGTGAGGAAAGCAAACACATTTACATGTCAAGTCACCTTTATTTATATAGCACTTTATACAATACAGATTGTTTCAAACAGCTTTATATGGAAGCTTGTTTCCGCCACAGAATAAAACATTTTAAAAGATAACTGACTTTTTATCTCACAATTGTGAGTTTACATCTCGCAATTCTGAGATATAAAGTCAGAATTGCGGTATATAAACTTACAATTGTGAGAAATAAACTCGCAATTGTGACTTTTCTGACTTTATAACACGCAATTCTGACTTTATATCTCCCAATTGCGTGTTATAAAGTCAGAATTGCGAGTTTATTTCTCACAATTGTAAGTTTATATACAGCAATTCTAAATTTATATCTCCCAATTGCGTTACAAAGTCGCAATTGCGTGTTATAAAGTCAGAACTGTGAGATATAAACTCTGTCAAGTCTTTTTTTCCTCAGAATTGGACTTTATAACTCGCAATTGCGACTTTATATCACGCAATTCTGACTTAATAATTTGCACTTGCGACTTTACTTCACGCAACTGAGATCAAAAGTCAGAACTGCGATCTGCGAAATGTACCTTTTTTTTTTTTTATTCTGTGGCGGAAACAAGCTTCCATAGTTTTACGGTGATAAACAGGAAAATAACGATTCAATGATGCATACACACATTCAATTCTGCTGTAAAGACACGTCAGTGACATCAAGTGAAAGATGCTGGTCATCTCTACAGTAGTAACTTAAAGGGATAGTTCACCTAAAAATGAAAATTCTGTCATCATTTACTCACCCTCATGTTGTTCCAAACCTGTACGAGTTTCTTTCTTCTGTTGAACACAAAGAAGATATTTTAAACAATGCTGGTATTCAAACAGTTGACGGTAGCCATAGACTTCCATAGGCTTTTTTTTCCTACTATGGAAGTCAATGGCTACCATCAACTGTTCGATTCCCAACATTCTTTAAAATATCTTTTGTGTTCAACAGAAGAAATAAACTCATTCAGGTTAGGAACAACTTGAGGGAGAGCAAATGATGACAGAATTTTCAAATACTCATCAATTATTCACCCTCATGTTTATTTTCAGACGTACACAAGTCACATCTTTTAAAGGAATGATGCTTTTATGGTGCTTTTGACATTTTTGGAGCCGGTCAGCCTTTCATTGTATAGAAAACAGCAGGACTGTAATTCCATACATTAATAAACATACATTATTTGAGCGAAATGAGGGTGATTGACTGACAGTGACAAGATGTTCATTTTTGGGTGTGGACATTATTAGATAATTTCCTTCTATGAGCGTCTTCCTAAAGTGTGTGTAGTCTGCTACCGAACCTTGATGGAAAGGGCGTACAGGTGGTTGAGCATCACATGGTTTGGTTCAGGCAGCAGGGTTGGGTCACACTGTTCAAAGCAGACACAGGAACATGTTAGGGAAAGTCACTGCTTTCTAAAACTGCCCACACTCAGCAATTTCCAACCAGAGGCCCTTTTCTTATCTTTTCTTATCTCTTTAAACCCAAAAAGAAACTGCTTTAACAGCAACACTATATTTACAAAGAATCCGCCTCCTCTCAAGTCACTTGCTGGGTTTCCATCCATATGTTTTGTGTTAGAAAACCCGAATGAAAATACTTTAATATCCATGTTTAAATAGCTGTGTTTAAGTAATAGTAGTAGTTTAATGTTATATATACTGTATATATATATATAGGGGTGTAACGATACACGTATTCGTATTGATTCGTATTGGTTTTCGGTACGCATTTTTAAACCGAACGGTTCGTTGGACCATTTTTCGTGCCAACCAAAATTTCGTTATTTCAAATGTAGGCGCGTCGTGCGTGGCAAGCGCGCTCATAATGTAAGAGGCGCTGGCGTGACCCCAACATTGCCCAACATCAAATGGCAAATGTAATGTAAGCGGAACGAAACTGAGCTAGTCGTTATTGTGTGGTTGACGGACCGTTTATCAGTTTGGACCAATGCAGCGCGAGCCGATCTTACTCATCAGCACTGTTACTACACAGCGAAATCCAGTGAAGAGAAAATTTGAATTCGCCACTGAAGTAATAACATCGCTGCGAGATCTAGTGAGAAACATTCACATTTCTCCGTTATTAACGGATCAAACAGCGCTGATGTGGAAACCAGGAAGAAACATTGTGCCATGAATGAACTACTCAGTGTCCACAGATCAGCAACATTCACCATGGATTTACTGTAGTAACACTACTAACTGAAGTTAGGCAGGAATAGTAACTAATTCAAGTAACATTACGTCGGTTTTATTTTGACATTATGAATACAATTGCTGCCCTCAAATGTTAATCTGAACTAAAATAAACCTTAACCCTCTGGGGACCAAGGTGTTTTTGGGGTCCTTGAGATGTTTTGACATGCTCTGACATTTGTGCTTTTTTCAGTTGCTTATAAACATATTAATGGCACAGGTGAAATTAAACTCTATTTAGCACACACAGGGCTACCATAATGTGTTAGCAACATGTATGTACATGTTTGTATTTTTGAGAGAATATTGTTTATGCGTGGTTATTGAAAAAACTAAAAAATAAAGTTTTTGAAATAAGGACACAAAAAACATACTAAATATGAGTCCACAAGACTTTTGACTAATGTACGTTGTTGCCTCGAGTTTTTGCTTCAAAATGATCTGAAAATCATCCTTCCTAATCATTCACATAAAACAATAGATTGTTTTAAATTGTGAAAAACATTTTTTTGTTTGCCAAGGCAATATGCGGATGGGCGGAACGGCCCAACCCCTATCATGAATAATTAAGTGGTTCTCAGACAGTGACCCTGCATAATAATGAGCCTTTCATTCAGGGGTGTCACACAAGAAAGAATGTAAGGACAATATATATATATATATATATATATATATATATATATATTGTCATTGCATTCTTTCTTGTATATATATATATATATAGCCTACATGTATATATATATTGTCATAGCATTCTTTCTTGTATTTATATATAGCCTACATGTATATATATATATATATATATATATATACACACACACACACACACACACACATGTATATATATATATACAAACAATAAAAATATAAATGAAAGCCAAAAGCACATTTTTAGTCATACCTGGAAACAAATCCTGGTCAAATGCTATATGGGCCATTCTACAGAATTGGTTCAAAGTTACAGTTGGAAACATCTTGAAAAGAAAATAGTCTTTTCCCATAAATGTCTTATAAAGTATTATTTTTTAAAGTAGACCAATACAATAAAAATAAACCAGTCGCATTTCAAAGTCGCTCGCGAAATGACCGCCAGGTGGCGCAAAGGGACATTTATCAAAACGTAAGTGGGGCTAATGTCAATTAACAGTAAGGATGAAATTCTACAAGTTATGGTAATTTACAAATAAGCCTACAACAAACATTTATTTTTAAACAAATATTTTTAAATATGCAACATGCACGTTTAAACAACAAACAATACAATCTGAACCAGCGCTTCCTGTATTGAGACATGCAGCGCGTTTCAGTTACGATCCTGGTTCCAGTGGCCTTAATACATTCACGGCTTTTTAAAATGTCACAAAGCGTTTTGAGATGGTTTTGAATGAAATATTGAAGTTTATAATTAGGGTATTTTGGCACACCACGCTGAGTGGCTATGCATTATTCTAAAATCTGGCTTTATTCTGGCATGTTGAATTAGAGTTTGACAAACGCGGCGGCGCGTTCATTTGGATTTATTTTTCTCATAACAGCTAAAAGAACTTACTGCGTAATTGTTGGTCATACAGATAAGATATCGTCTTTTAAAACTGTAAAAGGTCTACTTTTATTCATGTAGGTAGGCTAAAGTAGGCCTACACTCACAGGCTAACGACAAAACGTTTTCTCGCTCATGTGAGAAACAAACGTTTGGGCGTTTTTCTCAGTGAGAAAATTCATAGCCGAGCGGTAGAACTTACAGTTCGATCATCAAGATGACACGGGTTCAAATCCCGATCAAACATGGTCTACTGCAAATTTTATATTTATTAATGCAGAGAGATTTGTCTAGCTCTAAAACTCTGTTACACCATACAGTTTTTTGGTTATATTTATAAAATAAAATTACCATGCATTTCCATTTTACACTAGGAACAATAGTATCCAACAGAACGACGTTGCACCAATCGTACGAGGCTACCAATCGTAATTTAAAAAGCAGTTCTGTAAAAAAAGTAATTTTACATATATAGCCTATATATATATTTTTTTTTTATTAGGCCTATTATTATTATTATTTTGATTCCCTACAACCTAGAGTTTTTAAAAACATGGTTTTAAGTAAAGTGTGATTTGCCAGGAGGGACGGGGATTTCCTTCTGGTCTAAACATCCCTGCTTCTGCTGAATTATTTGAATCCCCACACCCCTCCCTCCACAGTAATCAATGCTATAGGCTACTTCACCAATAGACCATATCAAATATAAAATAGAGATATGCAACAAGCACGTTTAAACAACGACAAACAATAAAATCAAAACCAGCGTTTCAGTTGTTCATTAGTTCCAGTGGCCTTAATGCATGCACGGCTTTTCAAAATTTCACAAAGCGTTTTGAGATTATTTTGAATGAAATATTGAAGTTTATAATTAAGTGTTTTGGCAGACCACGCCGAGTGGCCCTGTGCATTTTTCTAAAGTCGGGTTTTATTCGAACTTTTGCTAACGACAAAAACAGTATATCTGTCGTCTCTGTCTCCAGGAACTGCGCGTCACAAAAATGAACCGAAAGCCACTTCAGCTCAGTCACTATAAGAAATCGGCTCTGTCTAAAGCCTTTAAATGTCTAAATATTCTGGCTAATAAATGTTATCTGATTATGTAATCCATATGAAAACGAGAGGTACAGAGGATGTACTCAAACATGTAGCCTGTAAGCGCTTCCCAATGAAAAAATGACAAGGGTGAAAATCTCGCTCTAATTAAATGTAGCAGGCTAAATCGCCCTGGATTAAAATGTAAAAACAGATCAAATAATGTATTTGTCGAAATGTTGCGATATTGTTTCATTTAAGTTCATAATTATTCAATACATGTTATTTAATTTAGCAGCATTACCACGAAGCACCGTGGTTCGATATTTATTTGAATAATAAAAAAAAATAAAAAAAACTTAATTCACAAATTGCATGCCTGGTTGAAAGGATCCAAAGATCCCTGTAGACTTTAATATTGAGTTGAACATTTTGTTCATGACAACAAATTAACATGCGTTTTTTCAGATTATATTTAGTTTTGCTTGGAAAAAGCTGGCCCAAACCAGTTTTATTTCATGAATTACTGAAATAATGAAATATTTAGTAATAAACTTTTATGACAGAAATATCACTAGGCTACATGTAACTTAAATCATTTAATTCCTTCATTATCAACACTGTCTAGAATAGCGATTTAAGTGTGAATTGCGACTTCTCTTTGTGTTAAATCAGCCTCAGACTCCGATAGCCGGTGGGGGGTTGGAGGGACAGTTCAGTGCTGTATCGAGCGCGCAGGACAATAGGCCTAGGTGTTAATGTTCCTCTTTCATATGGAGAGCGAGGGAGACTAAATAAACTTGTTAAAAAGAGATTCAGCGCGAGAGAGGCAAAGAAAAACGCATGTTTTAATTTGATTATGTTGCTTTGGACAATTTTCGTTTTGTAGGCCTACTGTTTTAATTGTTTAATATAGCTGTAATTTCTTTGGCAATACAAATTTAAAATGTCGCAAGAATAAGATTAGCCTAGTGTTTCTTATTTTGCATCGCAAAATAAATAAACTCTAAACCCGATGCAACCCTGTTTTAAATAAAAAAAAAACTGTCCCGACACTTTATTTAAACCTTGAAATGTTCGAACTTGGTTTCAAACTTAAGTAATTTTAGTGTTCTTTTACATTACACAATAATTTAGCAGACTAAAGACGAGCTTCTTCATTTTCATTTTCTGATGCAATCGGCTGACAATCTTCCTTCATCAGTTTATGTCCTTTGTGCAGTGCTGCGGTTCCAGGGATGTAGCAAATTTATGTTGTAATAATAATTAAACAAAACTCTTGACTTTAAATAAGTAAACAGTTATAAACAGTTAGCTATTTAAGCATCAAGAAGGTTAAATACAAACGCTGTTGGCCAACATCGGTTAACAACATGTATGCCACATTGAGATTCGATCTCGGGTCGATTGAAGCTCCTCGAAGCTCGTGTTGTTGCCTTAACCACTGAGCTATCGTCTGTGCGTCTGTAAATGTTTTTATTGCAATGTTTTATTTTTTCATTATTTATTCAATTTCATTTCAGTAGCCTAATTTCAGTATTGTGATTATGAATTATTTTAACTACGTTTCACTTGTTGAATACATCTGCTACCAGCTTTCAATCGCTCTGAATCAGTGCGGTGCGGCGGCAGATTACGCATTAGAGAGAATAAACAAACACTTTTCAGAGTCTATGATTGTAGCGCCTCTTGGCGGTAAAAGGCAGCAAATACACCACACATTTTACCGCCGCGGTGGAACGGCTGATGTGGGCATTGTCATGGCTTGCCTCGACATTTGCGTTTGAATAGCGCGCGTCCTCCGTGGGCGTGTCAGATTAACGCGTAATGAAGTGTAATGAGCTGGGGGGAAAAAATCTGACAGCACTCTCTTTTCATACAGATTACATAAACTGAGAATATTTGTTTTTTATATAAATTACTTCATTGAAAAGAAGAGAATTCAAGCTTCATAAAGAAAAATCTCTCGTGCCTGTATGACAAGTATTTGCAGAGTTAGAGTTAATTTTTCGGACGTGTTTCAGAATGGACTGCACTGACAGAGAGAAGGCAAAACTCGCATCATGTTTATTTTTCTTTATTTGACAAAAAGCACAAAACTTTGTTTTTATTGTGAGTATACAGAAAAATAATAGACAATTAACAGGATCGATTGATGTATAACACTTATATGTACGATCAAAATCAACAGAGTATTTTAAGTCTATTTTTCTGCTATGTGAAAAAAAAAACGGCAAAACGCGCGGGCGCGTTTCTGGTCCCCAGAGGGTTAAATAACTACTACTATATTACATTTCATTTTGTCCAAGGAGCTGTTTTGTTTTGTATGCTCCTAAGAAAAGTCAAGTATAGCTCCATCATTGCTCAAAGTAAAAAAATATCATACTTTATAATGTTAGTTTTAATAAAAATAATTACAAAAATTAATTCAAGGAAATTTCTCTGGCATTTCTTTCTTTTTGCTGTATATCGAGAACGTACCGAACCGTGACACAAGTGTATCGTATCGAACCGAACCGTGAATTTTGTCAACCGTTACACCCCTAATATATATATATATATATTTCAATGGCAAAAATGGTAATGTTTTAGTTTTAAGAAGAAAATACTCCGCAATGGTGTTAACTTACGAATTTGCACATGGTTTGTCTTAAAGCAAATTAAAAACACCACATAGACATATAAACAACATTAAAAGCTTGATTTTCACCACAGCGAGACTTTAACATTAGTTAACATGAAATAAAAAAAAATATGGAACATGAAAAATACTTCTAAAGCATTTATTAATCTTAGTCAATGTTAATTCCAGCAATTACTAATGCATTATTGAAATCTAAAGTTGTATCTTTTAATATTATTTAATGGAGCTAAGCTCACATGAACTAACATTTTATTTTTATTAACTAAAGTTAACAAAGATTTAAAAAATACTGTAACAAATATATTGTTTATTGTTAGTTAATATTAGTTAATGCATTATCTAACAATAACTAATGGAACCCTATTGGAAAGTGTTACCTAAAAAATATATACCATTGCTGATTTTCTATTTCTTTTATATACTATTAAAGTATTTATGAATCACATTTATTTTGATATTTTTAGTTTTCATTTTAATAGTTTTAGTAATTTTGTAATGGGCTTTTGTCATTTGTATTAGTTTTTATTTTATTTTTCATAAATATTTCAGTATAGCTTTAATTTTTGTTTTAGCAATTTTACTTTAGTTAGTTTTTCTTTCTTTGCTTTTTTTAAAATCTAATATTTATATTTGATTTTATTTCAGATTTATTTCAATTACTGATTTTATTAATTACTGAAAATGACTTTTAATAGTTTAAGTTTTAGTTGCAGTTAACAGTAACTGTTATTGAGGCTTTGTGACAGCTGGGAAAAAATAAGGGCCGGTTCTCAGAAGAGAAATTCTGCGGGAGTGGACATAAAGCGGGATGAAAACAATTTACCCAGAAAATTGGGTGTAGCAGCTTCTGTCATTAGATTGGGCGATCACATCTGCGTTCAGGGCATAGCAGAGCAGTACTTACAGAGATTCCAGTTTCTTTGTTGAGGAGCACCTGCAGCAGGTGAGGAGGGAGTATGGGTGGAGAGCGCAGTCGGTCTTCTGATTTGGATGCGTAGGGATCCTGATGGTACGGGCCGGGTGGGGAGCTGGATAAGTCTGGCAGAAGACGTTTAAGATCAGAACCTGCAGCAAATTTTATTTGTGTAACAGTGAAGGGCTTTATATTGATTAAGAGTTACCTGACATGTCGGCACATTTCTCGGAGTCTGTCTTCAGTGCGTCGAAAACCTCAAAGTCTGTTTTCCTCACTTTAATGACATTATTCACCACACCTGACTTATTAGTCACAACAGCCTAAAAAAAAGAAAAAAAGATCACATGTTGGCGACACTCACACTGTCGGTCCAAATCCGGTTATTTGCGTATCTGATCTAAAATTATTGACTGTCCAGATTGTGTGCATCGCAACCGTTCAGATCCGGTTTGTGTGTCTGTGCCGCTCTTTTGTTTTCCGGAATATCTGCATTGGTTTCTATAGCAATGACGTTGCGTTGGTAGGTATACGCCAAAAACAACAATAGCAATAACAACCGCAACATGGAGGGTCTTGCAATACAGATGTTGTCTTATTTACTCAAATAAGACAACATGACAATGTGTAACAACAACCTTGTTTCTGCAGCGACTTTCAGCAGGTTTCCTATAACAACGTCTGACGATTACGTTTTAAGTGCGTGAGAAAGTTACAGAGCAGGCGAAATCCGATCTGAGGTGCGTATCCCTAAAGCATCGTTAGCCAGCTATGGTCCCAAGTTCTATTCGTTTTCACACCTGAAAGTCCGCACCAAGGTCCGAACCAAAGATCACGTTTTGATACATTTTATACTTTCAGAAAGTTTTGGTTTGGTTTCACACTGCAATTATGCGAGCGCACTAAAGAACTTTACGTGACATACTTGCGTCCTGTCGTCATCATCTATGTGGGCTGCATCTTGACATTGATTGGTTTTGTAAATGGACGTGCGTCTGACGTCAGCGTGTTGTCAATTCGGCGGGTAACTTTGACAACATGAATGAACAGACGCATATCGTTGCAACTATATTGTTATTTTTATGAAATAATTACCTGCAGCACCAACTATACACAAGGCTAGTTCAAATTCGCCAAATCAACGTCCTCGTCGTGCGAACATTAACAAATTGACTTCTTATGTCATCAGACCATACTTCAATTAAAAACCTTGTCTCCTCCTCTGCCCATGTGCTACCACGGCTCATTTTTCCTGCCACCTTCTGTTTTTTCGGCTATGCGGGAACCACCGGAACTTCCGGACCAAACAAGGTAGGTGTGAAAGGGCCCTTAAACTCTATTGGTAACGCCGAAACTTGCAACCATAGTTGGCTTTGGGAAACGCACCCCAGAGCGGTCAGACTGAAACGGATTTCCAGAAATGTGATTTGAATAGGATTTCAAACCACATATGAATTTAGCTTGAAACGGATTTGTAAAAAAAAAATATAAAAAAAAAATATATATATTTATATATATTTTTTTTTTGTCGTTCACACGTCGGTTTACAATCAGATAAGCACAAAAATTGGACTTGGACTGGCAGTCTCAACAATGTTGCTGTTGTAAATGAGGATGATCAGATAACTGAAAATATTAAGAGGCTTATTCTTACCTCTTTGGGGTCTAATATCCAGTGTCCATCCACATAGAACTTATACTGGTGTTCTCCTTCAGGCAGGTCAAGTATTGCCACAAAATTATTATGACTGTTAAAAGAGAAAGAACAAAACAATAAAGCAAAGCACTTTCTGTTCGGAAAGTTCTGTTCTTTTCCCATTTATGATGATGGTGGTAGTGAAATGAAGCCACATGCAGGGTTCGGCATGAGGTCACATGAGTGTTTACTGTTGTTGTTGTTTGTAAAGTTGCTTGTAAGCACACAGTTTTTACTGACAAAAAAAAGAGGCCAAATTTACATAATCAAAAAGAAGATGTAAATGCTATTTCAATAACATAAGAAAAGTGTTTTTTGTTTCTCTTGCAAAAGTTGTGAAGCTATACTAACTATGTACATTAATAATAAAGACTACACCAGGGGGCTGTTCCATAAACCAAGATTAGAGTATAAGCCAGGCTTATTTCGGTTAGTCAGGCTTATTTTTGGTAGATTCGGTTTCATAAATCAAACTTAAAATAGTTCAAACTCAGTTACCCTGGCAACTTATGCTGGGAAACTAGCCTGGTCCAGGGCAGGCTAACTGTCAGGCTAAGCCTCAGTTGTTACACAGATCCTCAACACTGACCGACAAGAACACAATGATATTACCACTGACAGTCTCTAATACCATTATTGGACTTTATAAATACACAGTATACAGAAAATCAACTTAAATAAGGCTACAATAGACAATATATAAGGCGTTTTAAAGTTGTCCGTTTAGGACATGTCATTTTTGTAATAAAGACATTTTAATTAAGGAATGCCTCGGTTATCAGAGAATTCTTTCTCTACACTGTCTCATATATATATATATATATATATATATATATATATATATATATATATATATATATATATATATATATATATATATATATATATATATATATATATATATATTTTTTTTATGTACTTTATTATGTCTTTCAATTCAACCACATTTAACACAATTATACAAATGGACAGTTCCTTTAAAGACATCATATTTTCCCCCAATAAATATTCCTTATTTTTCCTTCTACTTTTTTTTTTCTTTTGTGATAATACCAACACATACATATAAATAAAACAATAAATAAATATTAATAAAATATAACATTCACATATATCAAACTCTTATAATGAATGACACATAATTCCTAATAGTTATTCAAGTAATATTATTTAAATATCAAATATTCAATATTAAATAAGTAAATAAATAAAATAACAAATAACTAGAAATAAAAGGGAAGGTTACATAAAAATGTATAGTTAATGTAGGCCAATATATATTCCTTTATTTTATGGAATATTCTTTGATTTTAGAGTTGCACATATCTTTTCAAAATGTATACATTTGTTCTTAATTTAATGTTATCCTCTCCATAATGTACTTTAGAAACTAAATCTAACCACTCATTTAAAACTGGGGATTCTTGCTTTCTCAAAAAAATGATTGTATTAAAAGCTGTACTTCTCAGCATTCTAAATAAGTATATATCATCTTTATAAAGTAGCATAGGTCCTATACCCAAAACTATATTTTGTATCTTTATATATTTAGTTTCTTAAAAAAAATCTTCCCTGAATTAGGCTACTTCTGTTCAATTTCTTTTTTTTATTAGAAGTAGGCTATAAAATATATGAGTGTAATGAGCTAGAAGTTCACTGCAACTTATCCAACATCCTAAAGAGAAATTATTATAATTAGAAGATATTTCTAGTGTTAGAAAATATCTCATATTAATTTTCCACGCAAAATGTATATTTTAGTCAGAATTATTGCGCTCCTATTTGGCGCGCAGCAGCGCTCGTTCAATATGAAGATTAGCAGCAAAATGGATACATTTGCACGACTTTCTAACATTTACAGATGGAGAATATAACTGTAAAATGTAATTTTTGCACTGAAGGGGGAAAAAAAAACATGTCACAAACGCATAAAACAGCACAAAATATACGCTGATTGATGGTGGATCGATTTGATCCACGATCGACCTCTATGGCTGCTTCAGAAACGCGTGCACACGCAATTATCTAGACTAGATAAACCTGGATCAAATTAGTGAGATTGCGTGAACTTCAATTACCTTTTATGGAACCACTTTAGCCCCAACTTATTTGTTAGGCTCATTCAAGTCCGGTTTTGGAGTTTAATCCCCGCTTTTCTAAGCTTCATTTATGGAACAGCCCCCTGGTTCAATGCAAGTTGAGCTCAATCAACAGCTTTTGTGGCAATATGCTGATTACCACAAAAATGTAATATTGATTGATCTCTTATCTTCTAAAAAGCAACAACAACAAAAAAAAAACCCTACGCAAAATCAAGGTTACAGCGAGACACTTATAAATGGAAGTGTTCCAATTTTTGGAGTATTTAAAAGCAGAAATCTGAAACTTAAAACTTAAAGAAATCTGAACCATACTTACTTTGTTTGCCTAATTTGATCGTTTTGTGGTGAACAATTCGTCCATGTAAGTCAATCCACACAAACAAATTTTTTGGCTTCGTAATCTTTAATCAAAATCTGAAATTTCCCCTCCCCTCTGCATTGGAGGACCTTCCCTGATGACGTAGGTTTGACGGTTTGGGTGTCTGCTTAACATCCGTAACCACGCCCCTCCAACTGACAGTAGACAGGCTGAATGAAAACACCTACTTTTCTAGATCCAATCAGGTGCTAGTTGGAAAAAAAAACCACGCCCACTATTTTGCCTCATTTAGTATTCCATTTCTCTCTGAAATACGTCACAACACTGGAGAAAAGTCGTTTGCAACTTCCGGTTCACGGGGACTTTAAAGCAGCACTAAGTAGGAATTCCGTTTTTGTCAAACAGCGACCCCTAGAGTGGCTGTGGAGTACTTGTTCTGTCGTGAATAGCACTCACGCAGAGATGGCTCGCACTCACGGCCGGATCACCTCCCCCTGTACACTGGTACCTGTTCAGTAGGATGGACGCTGTAACAAGTGGAAATAAGGAATGGCCCCTTTAAGAGCTGCGCGCGCCCTGTTTAACTGTCGGCAGTCTGTATTGTATGTGCGCCTCGAACACCACATGTATACGGCGCCGGGTTATTTCTGTTTGATGCTCATTTTATCAGAATTTTATCAGATCTGTTTTTTGCCGTAAAGCAATTCGTTACCTCGCGAGACCTGATATCACACCATACTTCCTAACACTGAGGCCGGCGGCTCGCCGGCCCAAAGTTGCAAGGGTGGTTTTGCGGCTCACAGGCACCAGGGGGGTGCGAGACGACCACCATTCAACACGAAATCAGTAATATAAACATTACAATGACTCCAAAGCTGTTCGGTTAAGGTAAAAAAGTTACTTAGTTCACCTTTAATTTATAAAAGCACCAACGGTACTGTTCAAAAGTTTGGGATCATTAAGTTTTTTATATTATTATCAATGTTGAAAACAGCTGTTTAATACTTTTTTGACTCTTTGAAGAATAGAAATTGCAAAAGAAAATAATTTCTTTGAAATATAAATATTTTGTAACATTGTATGTCACTTTTAATCAATTTAATATGTTGTTTCCAGGACTTGACATTAACTTTTTTGCTCAACAGCCACTGTGGCTAGTGGTTTTCTAAAGTTACTAGCTAGTCAGCATTTTCAAAAACTGCCATATAGATATTTGTAATATTATCTCTTAATTTGGCATCAGGTATATTAGGCTGCCGTCACTTTAAGACCTGACACACAGATCCATTATACCGTAACACATGCATTTTCTTTCTCAACTGGTTACGTTCATTTAAAACATAACTGACTGTGTTTAAATGAATACTCGCCAAGCCCGGCATTTTGACATTATTTTGCATGTATCTGACTGTTTAAGTGCAATAAACAGCGAAAAAGAACTCAATTTAGTACTGAGAGGCGGCTTTATGTGCACACTTTGGGTGTGAGGCTAAAATCTGTGGGATACAGGCAAGACATGCGCAATACACGCAATCCCACGGCAAAATTCAAGCCCTGTAACAGCAACAATATTCATCCAGAGCAAATGAAACGAGCGAGTGAGGGGAGGCAGGTTTGTGTGTAAACTCGCTGTCAGAGAGATGAGAGAGCGAGAAAGCGCAGCTTGTATCGTGTGTCTATTCTGCAGAAAATGAGAATTGTATGCATTTCAGATATTTCAGTATCGATATGTAGCCAAAAATCTTTATCTACATGCATGCTGTAAATGTTAAAATAGTGGGTGAATTTTTTTAATGCTCGCTTTTGTCTTTTACCTCCCTCTGCCATTTTACACTAGTGACAAGCGTGAATATGACGAATGATGTCAGAGATATGTCAGTGGACTATAACGGCAATAATCGATTATGGTCTATTACTGCATCAATGCAGAATCATCCACATGACATCCGCATCGCGATGCATCGTAAAAACGATTAATTTCAACACCCCCTAGGTTTTAGGCATTGCATTGTCATGGCATATAACGTGAGAAAAAACAAACATTTTACATACTTTTGAAACAGTGAGTATTTTAAAGTTTACGGACTGGCCCGCATTTACTTCCACACTGTACATGACTCACTGTAAATCTGATTTTTGCTTTTTCTTTTAAAGAAAAGGAAGGACATACATTTTGTGCAAATCAATATTGTTCCACAAGTGCTGTCAGTTGAGCTTAACTTGTATTGAACATGCAACATTCCTTTAAATTAATTTGAATAATTGCATTTATCTTTTAATTCCCCCCTGCTCTCTGTGAGTCTATCCGAACAGACCTACTACTGAGGTCCAGCTGGCTTAAAGCACCTTGAAGAACATTCAGCTCTAGGATTTTTAGGATGATGTAGATACCTCCCACTGTCTACCATGTCATGCTAATGATCTAATGGTCTGTCAGCACTCACCTCTTAGTCAAGGGAATTTTGCTGGCCCAGTTGTTAAAGGAGCCAGACAAGTAGATCTCTTTCCCTGGACCGCTCCAGCGGAACACAGTGGGCCTTTCCTCTGGTGGGGCTTTAATATCTGATTCCTGATCTTGTCGCCAAGCTAGAAACTCCTAGAAAGACAGAGAGAAAGGTTGATGAGGTGTCTACAGCAAATAGTGGTAGAGCTGTAATAAATGAGTTAAGGAACATGTTTTTACAATTAATGCTTCACTGTAAACACACCACCTTGGCATCATCTGCTTGGAAGAGGTCTCCGTCCTCCGCGCTGTCCATCAGGATTTTGGGTCGAGCTCCATCTTTACCACCACGGCTCTCTCGCCTGTTCGTCTTCTCCGCTCCGCTTCTCTCACTGCTGGTGTTGCCCATGCTGCTGCTTATTTTCACGCATGTTAAAGTCAGTCACCATGATATCAAAATTGACAATATTTTTATGGAATACTGCAGTATTTATTATAAATTATTTTATTTATCTGTGCACATCATGTTTGATTTCCAATTCAATACCTGCGATTAGTACCTGATGTTAAGTAGACAACTTTTAAATTCATGTGCCCTCAAAATAACTCCCTTTTAGCCACATCTAATCTCTGATGACATGTTTACTGGCGCGAGGGCAGGACAACCTGCCACTCACATGACGTCACAGCAATAGCAACAACGATCCAATCAATTCCCAATGGACATAATCAATTTATATTCTGAGAATATTTGGTATATTTCAGTTTCCAAAAAAAATAATATATATATTCAAGATGAAAACACATCAAATGGACGTTTCTGTGATGTATGTGTTATGAGGGACTAAATTGTCTAAATAGACCCGAGCGAACAAGTAACGTTCATAGCATGCTTGCGTTTAGCATCTGATGTCGACGACTGAAAGGTAACGTTACTGTCATTATTTATGAAAGATTGACATGCCACATACGACAAATATATGTCCAAAACAGAAGTATTTTGCTTAAAATTGACGTCTAAAAGAAAGTTAACTTACAAGGCGCCAAAGGACAGTTTGCGCCACACGAGTCGAACAGCAACAACAGACGCTGCAGCCAAAAATACCTTTGTATTTCCATTAAATAATTAATCATGGGTTTAAAATACATTAAAACAAGTCTGCACTGAAAGTCGTTTTAGAAAATCCCACATTATTCACAAACAATCAAATAACAATAAACACGCGATTAAAGAACATAACCTTTGGCCGCTGTTTACGATTGTTTTGGCAATAACTAATGTTATTTTTGTTTAGTTTTATCAGTCTAGAGTTACATAGCCGATTCTACAGTTGAGGAACCCATGAGTACAAAGGACGTAAAAGACTGAGATGTTTTTTTTTTGGGTCGTCTTTTTTAACTTTGTTGTTCCTCTTCTTGCGTGCAGGTCTCGCCTACATCAACGACCACAGTCTATCGCCCTTTCATCTCGTACTGTGGTAACTTCCCTTATCATTTAACTAACTTACCTCTGAAAACTTTTTTTCTATTTGCCCGTAGCCCGCGACTGTTTCTTTTCATAACGCCATTTTCACATTGCCTCACAAAAAGGTTAACTGTAAACACACCTCTTCCGCCTGCTATTCGAGCTCTGTATAGTTAAACCAGTGGGAGACGACTGGGAGTGTTGTAACAGTTTTATTTCCAACTCCTGTAAAGCCTTTTTCTGTTTTGTGTATTTTAAACTTTGATTTAATGTATACATATTTGTCCGATTAGTGTACTGTAGAAATCTACAACTTGTCCAAAAACTACGTAAAAAGATATGTTTTGACTACTTACTCAGGATTGTTACACTAATAGAAAGCGTTTTAAATGTATGTATGACCTGTGAATTATTATTATGGAAATCAAAATATACTTCAAAATGATTATTTTATAACCCATCAGCTTCGTTTGAATTGATAAAATTTAAGTAAAAGTAGTTTAATTAAAAGCACTGGAAATATTGTAGTTCAAAGCAGCACATAAAATATTGTATATTTTTATATTTAAATTATTTTGCATTAATTAAACAATATTTGTTATATAATTCTTTTTTTTTTTTTAAATGTGTAGTTTTTTTTATATATATTTATTTTATTTTACTTTACTTTTTAGGGACTGTGCCAGATTGGGTGTGTCCTATGATGGAGTGAGCCAGCTGTGTTTAAGAGTCCACACATGTTCATCAGAATCTTGCCACATTCTCACGGCTGTCCAGTTTCGCAGTGTCATGACATGACTGGCAATGAGGTACTGAGAGAAGTGGAACTGTATCCGCAAAGTACACTTCAATAAAAACAGACATGGGTGGCAACAGTGAGATGGACCACCAGTACATATTGGAAAAACATCAACTAAGATTGATGGTAGTGGTGACACACTGATTAGTATTACTATAATCACCCATATATTGAAGTACACTGAAAACTTGTCAATGAAACACTTAGAGTAAATACTACCGCTAGTATTCTATCACATGTGTAGCTAGTAGTTCTTTGCTTTGATTGCCAAGACTGGAGACAAATTCTGCTATATTTAACCATAGCTGGCTATAATATTACATATCAAAATACAGGATACTCCAAACGCTGCAGATTACATTGGGTGTGAATGAGGAGAGGGAGTGGCTAGTGCCCGCTATAATACATTAGACAGACATTTGTGCATTTAGTATATTGATACATTTCATACATTACACATTTATTCATATTTTCCTTAAAAAATTATCATACTTTCTGTAATTTTACATTCACCTGTACAACATAACTGGTTGTTTTTTCTGTAAAAGCATTGGTTATCTATTTGGGTGCAAGCATCCTTTTAGTATGGCATTTTTAGGACAAACACAATGTACACCTCTAAACTACACATTTACATACAACATTTGAAGTGTCATCATACTCGGTCAGACTTGCAGTTGTACTGCCTGCAGGAATAAACATCACCCTGATATATCTTTGAGGTGGTATGCATATGAAGTGACTTTTAGCGTAAGATTTTCTGTAGTTTGGATTCTTGGCCATGCTTTGAGCAGATCAGACCCACTTATACATTCCATTTGAAAATATTATTTACTTATAAACCCGGGATGGTTCAAGCACATTGTGCCACCACAGTGAAACCACGTTCTGGGTTTGGCTCACAGTGTCCTCTGGCGTTCACTGGAACCGATCGCCACCAATTTACAGTATAGCCTTCCTGCCATACCGGTCTCTCCACCATCAGATTGCATTCTGTTTAGTTGATATAAAAAAGACCAATAAAAGAAGGAAATATTTTCTCAGTGCATAAATCATGCTACTTAAATAACAGGACATGCAAATGAGAATATAATTTACAATGATAATTTAAAGGAATAGTTCACCCAAAAACAAAAAGAGTTTAATTTACTAATCCTCATGTTGTTTCAGGCACTTATTATTTTATATCATGGAACAGAAAATCTGGTGTTAAATAGGAACGGGAGCTTTCAAGCCTAATAAACAATTCAAAAGCTCCATAAAAGTAGTCAATACGACTCTATAAGTCTTCTGAAGCCACATAACAGCTTTGTGTGATGAACATGCTTTTTCGGATATTACGTTTCATGTAGTGTGTAATCTCGCTGTTTGTGAATGTAAAAGTTTCAAAGATCAAAGTGCATGATAAATGGAGTTCTTGTCTCCCAAAAGAAAGAACCGATTCTGAACTGCCTGAAATGAGTCATCAGTAATTCCAGTCTTACGTCCTGCACACACATATGTAGGTTTGTAACAGATCTGCAAAATGCCAGCCTATGGTCTTCATTGGCTGCCCGTGAACAGCGTCTACTTTGACCCGCCCTCAAACACTGTAGTTGTAGCTGAGGCCTGGAAGAGTTTGGTTAGTGTTGTTGACATGTTGAGAAGATGCTGTTTTCTTCGCTACGGAAGCAAATCTATTCTGCATGCAGTTCCAAAGGATGACAACTCCGGCTGGAATTGATACCGTAAAATCGACAACATCGTTACTGTTACTATCCCTGTGCTGAGGAAGCCTCCGGAGCTGAGATTCAGATATGGTAATGGACATTTAGTTTCCGACGCACACTGTAAGTGGTAGACCAATAACAACAGACTAGGCCATCTGACCAATCAGACCAGAATAAACCAATCACAACAGACTAGGCCATCTGACCAATCAGAGCAGAGTAGGCTCTCGGAATGGAGGGGTTTAGAGAGACTGAATTCTTTATCCAGCCGTTTTAGATGGAAAAGAGGTGATTCTGCAATGCAGATTTATCTTGGATGCATGTAAACCTTTTTTTAGGAGACCTCCAAAACAAATTGAGGAACCTTTAAAATAGCATCCTAGTTCCACCCGCGCTCTCCAGCTCCAAAATCAAGATGTTCTTGGCCCTTCTTGGTTGGTTCTGCCACCGCTCCTTTTATTGTATCTACATCCATGCTAGCTCTGTCTGTTTGGTGATGTTTGCTACCAGCCTCTTCCTGGCCTGGCCGTCAATCCCAAGCAATCCAAGGGTCCCCCAAAGCAACTGCCCTGTGAAACCCCTGCAGCCAACCTCCACCGGCAGGTTTCAAGCCTGTTGGCATTTGAGAATCAACGCCTGATATTTCTTAAGCTTACCCTGGTGTGCTTCCTCCATTCTTTCTTCCCAGGGTACTGTCAGCTCGACAAGTACCACCTCCTTGGTACTCTTCAACCAGAGCACAATGTCAGGTCTAAGGCTAGTGTGGATTAATTCCTCTGGGAATTTGAGCTGCTTCTTAAGGTCTGCCCGCATCTCCCAGTCATTTGCCGAGGCCAGGACTCCTTTACTCCTCCTCTCAGTTGCCACGCTCTCCCCAGACCTAAGAAACTGAATGAAACAAGGCCCCTTACAAGTTGTCTTGGTTTCTTTCTTGCCTGCTCCACCCCGGCAGCCAGCTTTAGTCAAAATTTGGTGCCGTCACCAAATTTCCCATCTGCCAAACTTGTTCTGCACGAGGAAAGAATACGCTCAAGGTTCGCTGGCCTTCCACAGAGTGTGCATTTGGGGTTTTCTGCCAACTCCCATGTATGTAGGTTTGATGGAGTAGGTAGGACCTTGCAAACATGGACCACAATAAAAACTTAATCCGGTGCTCTTCCATGCTCCAGATGTCCTGCTAAGTCAGAACCCTCTCCCACACACTCTCCCACCTCATCCAGCTACCTTGCTTATTCATCGCTGCGGACTTAACATACTGACTTTCCTCCTCTGCCTCCATAAGGATGAACAGAATCAACTGATTCATATAAAAGATTCAACTTAAAAGAATGATTTGTTAACAATGAGCAGGTGTCAAGATTTTCATTAATTAACGAGTTAAATTTTAGTCTCTTTCTCATATAAAACTATCATATGACTTAAGAAGACTTGAAATATAGCACAAGTCACATTAACCACTTTTATAATACTATATGGTGTCATTCTGTCATTTTTTTTTTTGCCAGTCCTCATTCACATTCATTATATTTAAAAGACTAACCAGAACATTTTTCAAAAGGTCATATGGGTTTGGAAAGACATGAGTAAATAATGAGTGAATTTTTGAGTGAACCATTCCTTTAACAAGTCACATTTATAATATACTCGAAACATTTTGTGCAAATGAGTACCGTGGTGAAGTGTACAATGCAGAAGACAGCTATGATCAGAAGGCCAATAACTAGAGAAGCGATTCCCATGTGAAGAGCCTTCCTCCCCAGTCGCTGAGATCCTTCATAGTCTGCTGCATCGTAACTGCTTTGAGACTGAATGAGAGAGAGAGAAATCCTAATTGTGAAATGAACCAATTTGAAAAAATAAATCATTTCAGGATGGAAAAACTCAGAGATTCATTTGATCGAGGTGATACAGGAAGTATGCAATGTGAAATTTGCAGCATATTTCATTCGCAGCATCAGTGGCTGGTCTCCAAGTGAAAACTAGACTTCAGTATGTGGCCCATAAAGCAGACAGCAACGAGGGGCATAGTGATGATGCCAGCGTCATTTCGGCTCTTAATAAGATCAGACAGCAAAATGAGACTTGGACATACAGATCACTGGCACAAGATCACATTTAATGGGATGGCAAAGTTGATTTGATGTCACTGAGATGATTCATATATAAAAAATCAGACAAAGCAGGTGGTCTAAACTCTTTTATTAGACATAAACATCACTAAACTTTCAGATTTATGCCAAAAACATGAAATGTATAACATTATATTTAATGCAGGTTTAAGTAGTGTTTTTTTTTAATAGTACTGATGGTTTTTAAATAATATTTAAAAGTATAAATCTCTGCTAAAAAAGATAAAACATTTTGTGTTAACCACTCATACAGTGCATGTGCATAAAGCCACCAGTGTGTCAGAGGGCAGTTAGATGGGTTGCGTGATTTGCGATGCTCATTTAGTTTCTCACAGGCGGTGTGGTGGCGGCTGCAGCTGCTGTAGTCAGTGAGCCCTCACGTTTTACTGTGTAGCAGAGGTAGAGTCAACCTGAAACTAGTGGTGTTCTCCACAGCAAACCCCTGCACTTTACCCCATTCAGACCCCGCTGCCTGGTACTGCAGTGTTCTGGTAGTGGCATTTGAAAAGCACAGATTGATTGCTGGATTCAGGGCAAAAGTATGACAGGAATGGGCTGCTGGTAAAAATGATTCATTTTTATGCCCATTATGTGAATGGATCAGACGTATGCCACGAATCACTGTAAATATACAAATGAACATATCCTACATTTATACCATTCTGTCTTGATCTGCACCCAATGATTTATTTTACCCTATTATGTATTATTCTTTATTATAGTATTAAACCTGTTAATAAAGCAATAAGCCCTAAGAAGCCAGGATTTACAGTGAATTAGGACACGACGCAGAGCGTTTAGCTGTTCTAAATTCACTGTAAACCACAGCTTCACGGGGCTTATTGCTTTTATAAAATGGTTAGTCCATAAAAATAAAATGTATTTTTGTAGAGCAATTTACAATGGCTTTAAACGCGGCAGAGTTACGCACCAGTTAGAATCAAGGACTATCCGTTTTAATCATAAATTATTAATTAAAAATAGTAAGGTTGTCATTAGACTAATCAAAAACTAAGCATGATTAATCTGATTTTTTTTCCAGTTAAATTTCTGTTTTTCACCCTCAGTAACAATTGATATTGATTTAAAAACTCATATATATATATACATATAATTTCATAAAATAATATATTATTATATAACATAAAATAATATATATATTATATAACATTGAAATAATTAATTTGTATTAATATATATGGTAGTAATATTGTGTAAATAATATTTTATTTATTAAAAAATACATCATTTGAAATAATTTTATTTTTATTTATTATTACCATATATATTAATAAAATAATACATGTATTTTTAAATAAATAAGTAAAAATAAAATATTATTGTGTGTATGTGTATATACCTGATACATACACACACACTGAATATTATAAGAACAGACAGGGTTTCTCATTCTCATTAAAGTACATCAATGTTATATATTCTGTAATAGTACAACACACACACACGCATATATATATATATTTATATGTATGTGTGTTGTATATTGTATTATACATAATGTACTGTTACATAATATATCATTTTAATGTATTTTCATGAGAATGAGAAACCCGGTTCTATATAATATTCAGTAAATTCATTGCAAAAATAGCATGTATTGACATTAAAAAGAAAGTGAGTTACTGGGTGTACATTTTAGTGGCCAGACCGTATAACTGTTACTGCATCTCTCATTCTGAGGTCAAGGTGTGACAGGTCAGGTAGAAAACCACTGAAAAAAAACTTTCCTGTTTACCTACAGTACAGTATAAGCATTGGTGGAGAACAAAAGCCTGTGAAAGTTCATCATCATATCCACCTTTCACGTGCCTTGTGCAAGTGAGCACATCTGCAGGCTGGCGTGTGAATGTTCGCGTAGGGGAAAGGGTGTGAGAGAGTGTATGCAGTCTTGCTTGCATGTGTGGGAGTGCTAAAAAGTTAACTGCAAAGATACTTGAGGCCTATCTATTTATAACACTTATATGTCTATCTGGACCATAAGAACATTAGGTTTAGTCCGATTTCAAAGCCACACGTATAACACACGGCTAAGTAAACCCAGAAGAAACATACCTTTTAAGAAAAACACTCTCTACAGCGTATGACCAAAACTCTGTAGAAACACTGTACGTTTTGATATATAACCTCAATTAAGATTTTGATTTAATAAAGCACCATATGAATGTGAAACTCTCAAGTTAGATACAGAATAACAAAAATAATAGTTTTTTCTACTCACCATCAGAGAAAAAACCAACGCCACAATGTTAATAGGCCATGCTGGACAAAAACAAGTGAAAATAGTCAAAAAAATGTAATTTTTCAGCGGTGGTGCCTCTTGAGCCTCAGCACTCCTTCCCAAACTGTGGTCGGAACTTCCATCGATAGAGCAGTTTGTCTTTCCATCCGACCGATGAAGACCAGGACTCATGACGCAGGAGTTATGAAGGAGCAGGAGATGGTGAGAACATTTACAAGAGCAGGAAACTGAATGGAAGACTGGAGGAGAAACAAGAAGGCAAGAGCTCATGAAGACACTCATGGGGGATGTCAGATGATTGGGTAAGTGTGAAAGGCGATGGATGAGAAGTTGAGTGAGTCAGAGATGGCTTATGACCTAATTACCAACCGGGCTGAACACTATCCCACTTCAGAGAGGGAGAGAGAGAGAATGTGTGCGGGACGTTGAAGCAATGTAAGATGTAAGCGGAGAGGCAAGAGGAGAAAAATAAGTCTGTCTACTTACCCATATTACCATTATCTGTCAAAGGGAGAAGGGAGTGTTAAAGTTACAACTGATACAGCCATATGGATAATGGCCTCAAAATCACATTACTAGGCTGCCAAGAAATGCACACTGGCAATTTTCCCACGGTTTTTGCTGAGTACTGTAAGCGTGGAGAGCGAAAACAGCGCGGCATAGAGGCCAAAAACTGCATTGCACATTACAGATGCAAATTTCAGATAAAAGTTCTGTGTGAGGAAAAAATTCAAGTTTTCAGAGTTTTAGTGTCAGTACTACATTAAACTGCTATATATAATGTTGATAATGTATAATAATGCAATGGGGGAATATTTGTGTGTCCTGATAATGCCACATGTAAACCAGTAAAAAGTGGCCTACATTATTTTAAATATATCTAGTCAGTGTCAGAGTGCAAGCATATTCGTCTAAAATAATTCTGTATTTTCAGCTTCAGAATCATGACATTTTTTATTCTGGTGTCATTATTGTCCTGTGATTATCATCACCAAGTCCAAACCCAATGTAATACCAGATGTAGCATTTTAATCAACAATAAAACATTTTGTTAACCTTTTACCATAAGTCTTGGAGTATCACAATAATATTGTATCGTGAGTTCAGTATCGTGATTTCAGTATCGTGATATGTATCGAATCGTGACATGAGGGTATAGTTACACCCCTAATATATATATATATAATAGGGCTGGGCAACGATTAATCGCGATTAATCGCATCCAAAATAAAAGTTTGTGTTTACATAATATATGTGTGTGCAGTGTGTATAATTATTTTGTATATATAAATACACACACATGCATGTATATATTTAAGAAAAATGTTTTATTAATATATCAAATATTTATATATAATATTAATTATGTATAAATATATATAAAGTATATACATGCAAATATTTCTTAAATATATACATGCATGTGTGTGTATTTATATATACAAAATAATTATGCACACTACACACACATATATTATGTAAACACAAACTTTTATTTTGGATGCGATTAATCGCGATTAATCGTTTCCCAGCCCTAATATATAATGAATCGTAAAATTAATTATAATGCAGAAATTAAAATCATGCTCATCATAGAAGAGGTGCATTGAAGTTGTTGCATGTATGAATTGCATTTGAATGTATTTATGAATTAATTAATAGATTTGCTAAATGAGTAATCTGACAAAAATGAGCGTCACAGAGTGGCCTGTCTGTGGGTGTCACTGGAGCATGTGAGTTTATGCAGATAAGGTAATGCTATCAGACTGCAGGATACACCACACAGGAAAAATGAAAAACACCTGCCACTGCTTAACGTGAGAAACCCGCTGTCTCTGCACTATAGATGAAATGACACGCACCAGTCTCTCTGCTCTCTTCGCAACCATCTGGTTCACAGGTAATATCAGCGTTTTTCCTCCTCGGTAACACTACTTATTATCGACATGATGTCAATAGCTTGATGAAATGAAATTAATTGAATACTTTGCTTTTTTGCTACTTTCTCACAGGTCTCGTGACTCTCGTCCCTGGAGATTTAACGTTGTCATATGTAAACATATCTGTGTGGCAAAAACCTGAGACAATACAATGGAAAGGCACAAGTGAAAACATCACCTGTCACATTAAAGCTCATTTAAAAGTGGGAAGAATATTGGTTAAGTGGTTGCAAGATAATCAAACTGAAATGAAGAGTGAAACAATTGCAATATCTGAAAATCGATCGTCTGTATCTGGAGCTGTCTTTATTAACGCATCGCTGGACCTGCTGTCAATACGTCTAAATCATAGTGTTACCTATTACTGCAAAGCATGGGTGGATTTACCTAAACTTGGACTCGCTGTATATGGAAATGGGACGCATGTATATGTGGGTGAGATTTATTTTTTACTCTTTTTAAAATGTTCATTCTATTCTGTTTAAAGACTGGTAATATCATGCACACATTTCATGGAACAGTATGCACTCAACACATTTTTTCAGTGCTTAAAAAGTCTCATGAACAATCCAAATGATAAACATTTATCCTTTGCAGTGCCTAATTCTCCAACTCCCACACCTGTGACTGTGACAGCAAACCCCTATAATAAGGGCACAGTTATGTGGTCATTGGGATTGGGTTGTGTCTTGCTAATCATCAGCATTGCCTGTGTTATTCACATGCATATTAAAGGTAAAAAAATGGTGAAATTTCTTTCAAAATTGATGTTTATGGGTTGATCGCAATGTGTTTCAGATCACTAACAATGGCATACTATCAATTACTACACTGTTAAAAAAAGGTTGCTGCCTTAAAGTTTTTAAGTACAATCAACTTAGATGTTTAAAACATTTCAACTTAAATTGCATTAAACTGACTTGAAAGTTGAATCTTGTATTACATAAAAAAAATTGAAAAATGAAATTGAAAATTGCTTAACTTATTTTGATGAGTTAAAGTAATGTAAAAAACACATGTTGTCATAACTTATTGATCTTATAATTTATTGATCATATAATTTATTACAGTGTACTGATAGCATACTATCAGTTTTTAAAATAAACTAAATCCAAGTAACTGTAAAGTTTAACAGGCTGATTTTTTTAAACTAGGACACTGGATAAAACCTAAAGCAAAAGAAGTCATGGTGAGTAACATTTAATTTATTTTGAATATTGGCAGAGCTTATGGTCTTTCAGAAAAGTAATACAGTACTTAAAATAAATTATTATTTCACTCTCAGGTTGACGCTACCCATGGATCACCCTGCCCTGAAACTCAGGAAACTGTTGTTTATGCAGCATTAAACATTCCTCGGGACAGTGTGAAATCAAGAAATGAGGTAAATAGTGCCCATCAAGAGCATTTAAGTGATGCTTACATGTTTTAGCCTAGTAAGCAAACGGACAGTTTGCAGTTGTCACTTTGTGTTATATCATAGATGTGCATTATATATCCAGATGGAATTATTATGTCATGTTATAACTTGTCTTACAGAACAGTGCAGCTCTGGCAGTCTCTTCAGTGACCTGCACAGAGGACTCAGTGACATACTCTGAGGTCCAGATAAAGAAAGGACCAAAGGATGCAGGTTGAGCACTGTAATCTCTTTCGCCTTGGATATGGGACAGGGTGTTTTAATGGGACTTTAAGCTTCTGGTCCTGTTTGATTTTGTCAAGGTATTGCTGTAAATACTATAAAATGTTGATATAGTTTTCAATGTTTTTCTTCATGCAATACTCATGAAGGCTTAATTATTAAGTGCTGTTGTTAAGGCTCACATTTGAGTCTGTTTTAAGCCGTATTGTGCTCAAGGTAAATGTCTATATTTAAGATGCAATTATACAAACATCTGATAAAACCTTCAAAGACTTTTTCTTGTTTTTTCAGTGATCAGGTTAGAGTTCTTTAAAAGGAGCAAAAACTAGGACTTTAAAACTAGCTTTAAGTGCACTGAAAATAAACAGTTTCAAATGGATTTTATATAGGAATTAGCCTGCAGTTTTTAAACAAGCACAAACTGTTTAGTTAGCTATAGTTTTTGTAGCAATAAGCGTCATACATGAAGATGACAAGAACGGTTAATTGACATAACAGAGATGTTTATCGTAAAAGACTTATGTGTTACCGCCTACACAACCCCATTTAGAAGCTTAACGGTAAAAGCCCTATTCATATGACGTGCTTCTACAATAAGATAATGCTGTTTCATCCTGACAAAAATCTTTAGTTTCGTTGTATGTCGCAAAAATACAGATTTCTATGCGGGGGTGTTCAGTGAGCGCTTTCAGAAGAGAGATTCAATAGCAGACCGTAGGCGATTTGACAAGCCCCGAAGCCACAGGTGAAAAAAAAAAGACTAACATTAACAGGCAACGTCTGGCCTGAAGTGAGTCATGCGTTCAGTTTTAAACCCTGTAGGAGTTCTGAAATTTGAAATAATTGAATTGCCATTTCCAAATATACTTTATTTTATTTTTTTATTTCATTTTTTTAGAGAGGGTCAAGCTTCAAACAAGAAACATTAAAACTTTCAATTATTAACAGTCATCCTGTTTACTTCATAAAAAGTGTTATTAGTGTTGCTTTTTTTTTAAAACCAGTACCAGAATCTTCATTTAATTGAAGTATATTCATATTCATATTCAAATTATTACAAGACTTTAAACCTCTAAAAGAGATTAAGGGAATTGTGTTACGAATATAAACTTGGTAAAAGCAATGTAACAGCGTGGAAATAGGGGTTACAATTCACATTTTAAATCATCTTACTGAAGATAATACATTAGATCATGACAGCATCAGACAGACATGCATTCGCTCTAACACACACACACACACACACACACACACACACACACACACACACACACACACACACACACACAATAGTAGCATCATTCACATTGCCTTCTGTCAACAAAAAAACAAAATAAAAGAGTTCAAGTTCATCAAATCATGGAGAAAAAAAAAAACATTTTTGGACATAAAGAATACCATGCATTCGCGTTCTTGAGTGTAAAAAAACCTCTTAATCACGCTGATAGATCTCACCAGATCAAAAAGACAGTATATACAATATTTTACACAAACAAGGTCAAATCTAAGTCTGAGAAATATGTTCTCCTTGTTATTACTGCTATTTTCATGATCAGTGTAATAAATCCAGTTGCAAAACTAACAAAATATACATTTTGATGTCCCATCACACTATATTCTTCAGTAGAAAATGTACCAAATGCATCTGAAAGTGATTTAGTCTTTTAAATACACTACAAAGATCCACATAGATTTGACACAGATTATTGCTCTTATAAGAACTGAAAAGACTTTTCTACAATTACAAGCCTACATTTATATAATCATCAGAAAAAGACAAAACTTCAAACAAGAACTGAGAGAGAGAAAAGAAACTAAGACAAAAATACACTTAAGTTGTTAGCATTTTAAACTGAGAAATAAACTAATTATTTACAGGTTTAGCTCTATATAAGAGGAGCAGGAGGTTAGTTAGACTGATATGACAGTAATTCATAAAACCAGAAATATGTCACATCACATTATTAGTGTTGCAGCCACCATTCCATCAGCTTAGGGCTGATTCATCTCATCCAAAACCATTTAATGACAGAGAGCTTGATAAAATAACAATAAAACCCTGCGGCACGTAGAGTGCATCCATTATTTTCGATTGAGATCACCACATACTTTAAAAATCCTTCCTTATGATGTAGGGAAGACGTCCGAATAATGAATACTGTTGTACCTGTCACTCATTTCAATGGTAGCCGTTAGTAAATGCCGTAGCAATCAGAGGGCCCTGTGAAGGTCAAAATAAGGCATTGTAATTGCAGCAAAAAAGACACAGGAAAAACGAATGATTTATTAAATTCATCGTGTGCATTAGATGTTCTCCATCAATGATGTGACACTTGTTTTTTAAATTCAAAAATACATTAAAACGTCTATGACGTAATTTTGTGAATTATTATTATAACATTTTTTAATAGATAACAATACAAATTATTTCTTAGAAAATTAATATTTGAAAATATGCCCTGCAGACACTCATGACTGTGTCAGGGTCAATAATTTGACCTTTTTCACATGGCAAGGTTAGTTCAGGTTGAAAAATGTCATGTGGTGTGGCTTGCCAAACACTTAATATTTAAGAATTAATATCATGATACACTGCACGTATTCAAAGTGTAAAAATTAATAAAATACAAAAAAAGTTGTTTTTTTTAAACCATATGAAACCGATATGAATTTTTCTTTTTACTTTGTCGACAGCGTTATTTTAGTATTATTTGTTTTTGTTTATTTCTTATTTGTTAATATTTTGAATTCAGATTTATTTTGATATTTTCAGTTAACATTTTAATTGTAGTTTACATTTTTAGTAATGTTGTTATGTGCCTTTGTCATTGTATTATTTGTAATTATTTTTCAGTTTTAGTCATTTTAGTACTATTTTATTTCAGTTCAGTACCAAAGTAACATTTTTTTTCATGTAATATTTGCCTTTATTTTATTTCAATGACTTTTCTATTCGTTTTTCTTAATAGTTTTAGTTAACCGTAACAACACTGCATTCGACTGACTCACCCCAAGGCTGTGGCTGAATCCAGTGCTTGGAGCGGGACTTGCAGCGCTGATATAGCTACTGACAGTTGAGTCCTGATTGGCCGCTCCATACAGGTCTGCCATCGGCCCAGGGCTGCTGGTACCTAAAAACCCACCTGAGCGAGAAGGAGTTGAGCCTACAATAGAAATCAATATTCCACAATATCTCAATCACTTTTCATGAACATGAAATCTTATAGAAATAGGTCAGCCGGATAGTGAAAAGGCGCATTGGGGTGGGTGCGCTTATTTCCCGAGAATGGGTCATGTGTAGGATGTAAAATTAAATTCTCGCACCTCTGACCACAGCTGCTGCTGCGGCGGCCGCCGCCATGGGGTTGTACGCCGTTAGAGGAATGGCTACAACAACATCCGCATGCAAGCAGAACGAGCAAACAAACAGGAAAGAGAACTCAATCAGTATCAAGAAACATTACGGCTTGTCTGAAACCAATGGGAAAAGTGCTTGCATCATACAGAGTAAGATATGATGGTCTGATAATTTGTGGTAACGCCCGAGTAAGCTGTTAAGCAGGATTTCCTGGGTGGTGGGGTGTCAGCGTAAACTTACAGCACTCAAATCACACTTTGTTGCGTGTTGGAATACGGTGAGCGGGTACCATGTGCAATAGCTGCTTGTAAAGCTCTTAGAGGGACTAACCTGTGAGCTCAGGGGGGTGGGGTGATGTCAGAAGGGGGGTCCTCTCTAAGTGGAATTCTAGAATAGAGATAAACACAGAAAGCCGTTTAAACATACACACAAGTGCCGTTCAGACTACACACATGGAGAAGCGCTATAGGGCCTATGGCAGCAAAAATGAGTGGCAAGGCCTCAAGTTAGTGCACATAGAAAGACAGTCTCAGACCGCCTCTCTGAGATTTACAAGCAGCCATGAGTCTCTGTGAGTTTCTTTAAATTACTGATTTAAATGCTGTTGAAAAACTGTGATATATGACAATATACACTACCACTGTACTTTAATTCAGCAAGGATGCATCAAAAGTGACTGAAAACCCATTTATAATGTTATAATATTTAAAATATGAAATATGGTTGGAATATTTCTATTTCAATAAACTGTGTTCTTTTGAACTTTCTATCCATCAAAGAAGCCTGAAAAAAATCAGTTTCCACAAAAATATTAAGCAGCACAATCATTTTCAACATCGATAAAAATAAGAAATGTTTCTTGAGGATCAAATGAGCATATTAGAATGATTTCTGAAGGATCATGTGACACTGAAGATGATGAAGATTCTGCTTTGTCATCACAGGAATAAATAACATTTTAAAATACATTCAAGTTGAGAACTGTTCCTTTAAATTGCAAAAAATATTTCTAAATTGGACTTTTTACATTTATTTTTGATCAAAGAAATGCAGCCTTGGAAAGAGACTTCTTTCAAAAATATATAAAAAACTGAACGACGGAAATTTTGAACGGTATTGTACATGTAATCTAATATATGTGGTGTTTTTACACATAATATCTGATCACAAAATGGGAAATATAAATTTTTTTTTACAGTTAGTATATTCTTTTGTGCATATGCAAATACATCAAATTCTTTACCAATACCGCATGTTCACAAGCATATTTAGCAACTAGTTAGTTATGTTACTTAAAGGTTCTCTAAGCGATCCTGGGTGACGTCACTTTTTGTTGACGTTCGAACTATTGTCAAACAAAACGGAGGCTAGCTAGACCCTCCCTCCTCCTCATCCGCACACTAACCCCCCAAACCCTTCTTGTCGGTCACTGGCTGGAACAGTTTGTTATGTTCCGTGGTGCGGGTAAGCCCAGTTTGTTTTTGTTGCCGTTTGTGGAGCCTGGGGTGTCTTTTTACAGTGTGTTCAGGGGACAGGCAGCCAGCGGACAGTGAGGAGATGTTTGCTGTATGTGACAAAAAAAGTTTTGGCCTAAAAAACGCGTGACATCGCTTAGAGCACCATTAATGTTGGCAACAACCTACCATTACATAATGCTCACTGAATTGTGTATATGCAATTATAAACTGATAATAAATCATTTCCTGATTTAAAAACCCAATATTTGATTAGCTAAATACTTTAGGGTCTTAAGATGTATCCCAGGAAAGAGTTAATACCCATGAACCAATGTGTGAAAAGCTGTACGGAGACACTGATACAATATTACAGTATGAGCCAGACATTGAGTCTTACCAGGGAACTGATATGTGTATCCTGGTGTGAGACTAGTATAGCTGCGACCA